ATATATTCTTTTAGCTTTATGTGACTTCTCATGCTTTCAGAGTAGGGCTTTCTCAACTCCAGTACTATTGTTATTTAGAACTGAATACATTTTTATTGTGAGGAAGCTGTTCTACACATCACAGGATATTAAGCAGCATCACTGTTTTCTACCCCCAGATGCCAGTAGCAGCAGTTGTGACAATCCAAAATGTCTCTAAACAGTGCCAATTTCCCTTGGTGATGGGCAGTGGGGTCAAAAGTGCCCTCATTTGAGAACCACCATTTTTGAGATATAACGAGTTTTAGAAGTCAGGCTTCACCACTTCATTTTACAGGAAAGAAAATTTATACTAAGAGATCAGTGCAGATGTTAGTCCAAAAGGTCATGATTAACAAGCGGTGGAATCAAGGCTAAAAAAATGCAGTTAATTTGAATGCTACAGAATTCAATGTTAATTTTAACATTCTGCTTCTTATAAGGAAAATAGTGAGATTCTTCTTTTTGTCTAGAAAAATGATCTCCTTTTTGAATAAAATACGCAGCTGAATACCCTCAACTCTTTTCACAGAGTCAGATATCAGGACTTTTTACCTGATCTTGCTTATTTAAAGTCAGTTTAGGCTTCAGTATTTTTTTTTCCTGTAAGGCTCTCATATCTGTGATAATTGCTTTAAAAAAAAAAAAAAACAAACAAAAAACAGTGTTTGCTGAAGAATTTACCATGGCTGTTGGGGAACATTTGAAGAGAAGGTTATTATGACAGACAGTACTTTTCTTCAACTCTCCTCCACTTGGCAGTTATCTTGCTCATCTATACAAAGTTACCTACATTTCACAAGTGAAAAGCTATGAACATTCTCAGCAAAATCCTTGAAGGTCCTTCATATGTTTATGCTTTGCTCAGCCAAAATAAACTCTACATTCACCTTGTGAACAGATGCCTGGTAATGAGGTCACAGAGCTGAGTAACATTTTCTGAAAATTGCTTTATGGTGTAATAAATGTTGTGATTAGATTCTTATTTTCATCTCTAACATGCTTAGGTGGTTCAACCAGGGAAACCTAGTCAGGGGTATTACAGATCTTTAAAGGTCACACAAGTCCTGCCATTTTTAGCATGAAAGGTATTTTTAACAAAGTATATATTATAGTCATTTAAAATAATTCTCAAGTCCTCCTGTTGGCTTTCTGGCAGTTTCTCCTTAAACTTGACCTATTTTCCTACTTTAGTTTTCAATTTATACTTCTGTATGAAAATGTCTGGTTCAGTGATTCTTCCATCACAGTGCCTCACTTTGACATCTCCAGAGATGGAACTTATTTTTTAACCTCCTGAAATCAGGCAAAGGACAACTTTCGGCCAACAGTGTTAACATTATGCTATGCTTAGCATATTTAACGATTATTTCTAGTGAATAAAACCTAGGATGGCTGGAGCCAACATTTCTGTGTTCATGCTGAGAATTGTGGGGGAAACTTCATAGCCAGTTATCTTGTTCACAAAAGGCTCACAGCATCACAAACAAGAAAGGAAAGCTCCAAAATAAATTAAAATTACAGGATATGTGTGTGTTTGTTTTGCAGTGGTTAAGTTAGATAATATTTGTGTTCTTTGTTTCCTGCCTTTGAAGTGGGAAGGTGGTTTTAAACTGTTAAATAAATAAATAAAAACAATGAATCACAAAGAAGAAAACTAGGGAAAAGGAGGTGTAGAATTACTTTTATAGTCTTTCAACAGAAAACAACTCTTCTGTTAGATGATCTTTTTTAAATATGGAGGACAAGGGGGAAGCTCTTAACAGTGAAAGATGAGAAACAATTTTCATTTTGTGAATATATTCATAGTCTGTGAGGATAGAGACTATGATCGTTGCATCTTGACACCAACAATATAGTAGGCATTGAATAACTAGATGTTAAATAAAAATGTAAGGGTAAGGTGTTAAATACTGATGGCAGCAAACTATAAAATAGAAATAAATAAGGATGGAATGAAATATAAAATTTGACAGTGGGATTTCTGATTCTCCATTTAAAGAGTTTGGAAGCAGTAAACATAAGTGAAAATAAAATGAATTGCCTTGAAATTGTGATTAATACATAGGAAGGTATCTCACAGAGTATAACTGTAAACTATAAGTGTTAAAGTGAGAAGGAAACATGGTATTTGCATGCTTCTGTTCCTTATACCAGTGTTCTGGAATGTCTATATTTTCTAAATAATATTTCAAGTTGAAATATACTTTTAGGTTTCTGTCATAGAATCATGTTGAATAATGTTTCTAAATATGGAAAACTCAGAAAGCAGCTTCCTTGGAAAGAAATATATCTAAAGTTTAAAATGCTAAATTTTGTGACAAATAAAAAGCAAAACACCGTGGACCTCCTTTTTCCCCATCCCCCGACAGGCAGTCACTTTAAATCTTCTACTTTCCTAAATGGCAGATAAGCGTTTTCGTTCTCTTTCACTTCCTTTTCCCCTTCCTCCATCCTCCCAATAGAACAAAATTACAGTTGTTCACTTCAGGCTGTGTTTTATTGATTGTAATATAAATGCTGTTCACTACTGAGCCAAGTCATGCTCCCTTATTATACTTCCTTTCTTATATAAATTTTGGTTTTCTTCCAGAGTCAACAATTATTCCTTTAAAAAAAAAAAATCATTTGCTCAGTGGTCCTACATTCTCTCTCTTCACATTGCCTCCAGCACTTTCCTTCATGCCGCCAGGGCTGGTCTGCAGCTGTACCACAGATCCACTGTCTGCACCGGGTGTCTGTTCACATGGCTGGCTGATTTAAGGATCTCCCAGCATTTTATCCCAGTTCAGGATTAAAACCATTAGATATTGTCTCCAAACTTTTCCTGGAGACACCTCTCCTGGCACCTTTCCAATTCCATCCAATTTTGGCAGGTTGTACTCTGTGCTTGTGTCCTCTTCCTTCTCAGAGTTCTTGTCACCTCCCTTCTGTATTGGATACCTTGCTTCCCAAAAACCAAATCCTGTGGGCTTTTTTTTTTAGTGGATTATTCCCTAGTCCTGGCAGAACATATCTACCCAGACAAAAGATATCTAGAAGGTAAATTTTGTGATGATGCATGCTCAGAATGTTATACTAAGCTCACACATGACTGAAAGCTCTATTATAAACTTTGAGAGTGAAAATCATTATGGTATTAAGAGTCATTAAGGTTCTACTGTCACTATTTAGAAGTTTAAATTTAATGTTGTTCTAATAACTTGATTAATTCAGTGTGACACTTTCTATATTTGAAATCTATAAGAAGTCTCTCCTAAGGGCCCTCCCTGGTGGCGCAATGGGTTAGAGTGCAGCATTACGAAGACAGCCCCAGCCACTTTAACACAAGTTCAATCCCAGGCCAGGGAGGTGACCCACATGGTGTGGCAGACTTCTGCTGCTCCCTTTAGCAGTGTACTTTGTTAATCTGTCTGTTCTGCTCCCCACTGTGTCTCTGGTGAATCCCCTCACTGCTCCTGCACCTCTGGCCTGGACCCCAATTCTGTATGCATAAAAAAACAACAAATCTTTAAAATAAGAAGTCTCTCCTTCTCTCTGGTGTTTTGGAACTGTAAATGACCTTACTTAAAGTGGCTTTTCTTCACTCACTGTGTTGCATACTTTGTGGGCCTTTCAGTCTTGAAATTCGTGTCCTTCAATTCTGAGAAATTATTACTTAGAAATTTTATTTAAAAATTATACCCACTTTACTGTTATAAATCCTGGTTGTTGGATTTTGGATTTTATGGGTGATCTTTTTTAGTAACTATGGAAAAAATAAAAAGCAAATAGACTTCGTAAAATAGAAAACAGGAAATTTTGCCATCTTAGTGTTTATTTAGATCTATACTAATAAAGGAAATAACCTTAAGTAATGACCACAGGCAAACTGTATTAAAGTGAGAATAATTAATCAACATGAATAAGATAGTTGTTTTATGTGTACAGTGTTGTAGTTAATAAGTGTTCACTTAATCTTCAAAGCAACATTTTTAGTATAAAATTTGAATTGTTTCTTTACTGATCACATTAATTGTGATCAATGGTAACACTGTAGCTAAAGATCATTACAAAAAGTAAAGGGTCATTTTGGGAATTTCATTTGATCTTTTATATTCCTTTATCATTGCTGTTCAATAAAATCAATTTTCCCCTTGAACAGAGATAGAGAAACATTCATATTTACTGGGCTCCCACTATATGGCAAGCATTGTATTTTTCATATTTGCTCAGATGGGTATATTGCCCCCATTTTATACACAAAGCAACTTAGGAACACATTAAGTAAATTGCTAATGGCTATTTTAGAAAGTCAAACTCAACATTATCTGGATCTAAAAGCCTGTTTTCTTTCCATATACTATACACCAAAATCAATTATACCATGATATTTAAAATAAACCACACTAATTACTACATGCAAAGAAATTCAAAAGCTGTAGTGCAAATGTTCACAGAAGGCAATCACTTAATAACTTGGCTTGCAAACACAACACATGACATTAGTAACTGGCTAAGTAAAATCTCAAGTTTTAAAAACAGAATTTCTCATGCCTTACTTTGAATAATCAGTTACCTCAAATTGGTTGAAGTAGGGGTGCAGAAGTAAGCCAGAAGTTCTACCATGATATTGAGAAAAAGAGAGAGAGAGAAAGAGAAACACCAAAGACAAAGAAAGAAAGAAAGGTCATCTTACTACCAGCAACATACTCAAAGCAATTTTTATTATAAAGTAGGAAATTTATGATAAAACGGCACTTTCTAATATATCTTATTTACTAACTAATTCACATTTTGTGGTTAATTAAAAGTTTCGAAATAATGAATGTTCTATAAAATACATTAAACCTCTTTAAAATTATTTTCTATTTCTTTCTACTATTATAAAAATAAACAAAGTAAAGTCGGCCAAAATTTAAAAATGTTTTGAAAAAAAGTCATTCCACTTTGCCTGCTGACTTAACATGACATTGGATTAAAACATGTAAATACAAAATTACCTTCACGGCTGCGGTGACTGCAGCAGTAGCAGCTAAGTTTAAACCTTGGCGCCCAAAGTTTACCATGGTCTCATAGCCTCGTTCCTTTGCTTGGACAATATAATCATCAATCTCCTGGAAGCAAAAAGAAAAAAAAAAAAAAGCAATATCCAGAATTATTAATTTTATATAAAAATAGTGTCAAGAAGCCAAGTGCTAGGATCTTCCCCTCATAATATGTCTAATTTTATAGCACAAAGCATGATGTGCATTTCCAACAAATGACTTATAGAGATAGTTTGTATATCTTACCCTTTCCTTTGAAGAAAGAAGTGGATGAAGAAATTTTCTATATATTAAACTTGCTCCTTTCGTATAGGGAGAAAGCAGCCATATGACAAAAGCAATTTTAATCTCATAGTACAGGGGAAACCTAATGAGAAAAATTGGAAAGAAATACTGGTGAAAATAAATCAGAAGTAATGATGAAATCACAAGGACATTTTACTTAAAAGTTCAGTCACAAGTGTGAAGCCATGAACTTAGTAACCTATAGACCACTTAACAAAAGTGTGACCTGAAGAGATTCACAACTTCTACTGCAAAATTCTTTTCTTGAAGCAACCACAGTCAAGCTGACAAACTGACTGTGGCAGCTCAGAGAGGGCACTAATAGCTTTGAGCTCGGGCAATAAGATGGTACCCACCCTGTCTGCAGGGACCAAATGCTGTGGCAATGCCTCACATACATCTGGGCATCAGAACTGAACTCCATATACCACAACTGCACAATGTCAACCCACCATACAACTTCTCTTTCTTCAAATGCCCAGAAATGCCCTCTTTGATCTCATTTGGTCAGAACTACAACAAGGGTCCTGGAATGACCATGGTGCTAAGTTTATGTGCCCAGGCTCTTGTCCATGTGATTGTGTCGTGACTTCCCTGGAGGTCACCCCAAGCAGCCACTTAGGGTTTAATGACATGACCTGCACAGAATGTGAATGGTGATTTATGTCACATGCAAGCAGAAGTTTTTAAATGTCCTTTGATGCCCTCACCACAACCTTCTCAACCTGTTGTTTAAACTTTTCCTTTCTGCCCTAAGAACAGCTGTTTCTTCAGCTTTGGTACCCAGACCAGAAGACACTGAAAACTGAAGAAAGCCTGGCAAAGCTGCACTTGACCATCTGCACTCATGTAGTGTGAACAAGAAACAAATGTACTTTAATCATTGTGTTTTCAGGGTTGTTTGTTGCCATGGCAAAAATTAACTAACAACATGGGTCATGAAGTACTAACCTACGTGATAACTGAACAAATGTCAACTCTTCTGATGAGGACATGCGAAGTGTGAGGAATGACTACTGTGTAGGGAACAAAGGGTTTCTGTCACAGTGCAATTACAGTGCACTTTCATTATTCATGAGAAAAATTCTACTTTGCTCACTTTTTAACAATGTATTTGTGCTTTATTTGCAAAAAAGGGAAGTCTTTCACAAGAGAACTTTAGAACTAAGAGACCTGGCATGATTTAGAATCTGTGTTCTGCCACTTTAAAACATAGAAACAAGACTCCACTAAAGTCCTGCATGAAAAACTTAACAGGTAAATAAAAGAGCTTCAGGACAAAACAAGGAAGAGAAAGATGGAATCTGTACAGAGAAATTTATGAAGGTAGGCTGTTAAGAGAATTTAAGTCTGATGATTTCTAATTTTTTCTAGTGATCCAATGTGACCTAAGGTGCTACGAGAATATGATGAGAATAGAAAAGTTAGAATGACAGTTAAGTGGAACAGTAAATGTCTAAAGCAAATAGATACAATAAATAAGCAATTTGAAGGATTAAATCAAGTAAAAGGAATAGTGAAGTTCAAATTGATGCAAATATGAGCAGTGATTAATTTCTGGGGGTTAGTCTGGGTAAACAAATAAAGATGAACAATGGTTGGACTAATTTAGGCTGAAGGTTTTTCAGCAAGGACAGGGGAAGACAGTAGCAAGGTAGGAAATTTACAGAATTTGAAAGAATGACTTCTCTGAGTAATGACAAGGTTTGGATGGAAATGCACTACTGCGATTCAGCAGAAGGATATTCAAGGTGTTCAATTAAGCTTTGCTTCATAGTAAAACATTAAATGCCTAAGGTTAAAACATGCGTTAATTTTCCCCCATGCTATGTGGAATAAAGCAGTCCAGGAGCTGGTGCTGAGTGGGCAGGCATGTGGTTGTTAACGAGTCATCCAGCTTGAAAATTTATCGATGAGAGTTTTAAAGATGGGGAAGGAGTGTCAAAACTAGATGCTGTGGGCTTCAAGAGGAGTTGTTTAGGAAGCAATAAAGAAAAGTAGCCTGACATCATCAATGGAGAAAAAGGAATAGTGACAAACGCTCTCTATTCTAAGATACTGGGAAGTATGTGGGAAGTAGGCAGGGGTTGGCACATGGAAAGAATGAAATACCTTTATTTGAGGCAGACTATAAGGAAAGTAATGTTCTTATGGAGAAACCAGGTGAAGAAAATGGCTGGGTAGGGTGATCAAATTTACTTAGTTAATAGCAAGAGCAGGGAGAGAACTCAGGACACCTGATGTTGTTGAGTCTAGAGTCTGGCCCTTCCTGAGTTCTAGGACTTACCAAGCAACTGTTTGATCTGTTATTGTTTCAATCACAGTATAGAGAGCAAAAACAATCCAGTACATCATCCATCGAACCTGAGAAGAACAAAAATACTTAAAGAAATAGACTAAAAAGACGTGCAATTCTTAATGATTACATATATGTGAGACATACGATTATAGTTACTTCTAGACATATAGTACATTGCAAATGTTAAAGGTGATGGTATAATTCTCAAAAGGTTCTATGTGTAGTTCTCACATCACTACATAACAGTCTTGGGGGTAGAAGAATCAAAGAATAACAAATGTATAGGCCTGATGCAATATGACATAGAAATCTAAATGAAAGAATTGGGAAAACAGGACAATTTCCCTTAACTGGAGGAAAATTCTTCAAAAGATCTTACTGTTACTGATATACTTTTTAATGAAACTATTATCTATATAGTTACTAATGAAATATTATATATAATATAAAACATGGCCACATTTAATATGCATTAGACTTTTTAAATTTTGCATTCCTTATTTCTTGATATACAGAAACTTCACAGACCAAAGAACAATCCTGAACTCTACATTATATCCATGATACTAGTCAACTGGTTTGAAAGTCCAGGTTAATGCTTTCTTCTTGCTCTCCTATACATAAACCTGTAATCTCTCACGTATCTTTTTCCTGCCTCTACTCCAATTCCACAGATGTTCAATATTATAATATTGCCCAATACCACAATGGTAGTTGCAACAGACTGAATGTTTTTATATTACTTCAAATTTATATGTTGAAATCTTAACCCCAAATTTTCAGCAGGAGCCTTTATGAAATGATCAGCTCATGAAGATTAATGTCCTATTAATGTTCTGTGAGGAAACAGAAGATGGTCATCTATGAATTTAGAAGTGAGACCTAACATATACTGAATCTTCCCACACCTTGTTCTTGGGCTTCTAGTCTCTACAATTATGAAACGTAAGTTTCTCCTGTTTATAAATCACACAATTCAAGGTATTTTTGTTACAGTTGCCCAAATGGATTAAGACAGTAGTTCAGGACATTTTACCACCTGCTGGAAAAGGGCATCCAAATAGATCCCTAGGATTCTGATATCCTTTTTGTACCAATCCTTGTTGTAGAACACTACCATGTTAATTTTCCTAGAACTTATCCCCCAAATTTATACCTTCTACCTAGCTGAGTACACAGACTGTTATTTCTCAAGTAGGCTGGACTTTTTGTTCTTGTGTTTAATACTATAATGGCTAATATACAAAAAACATGACAACCACTGGCTAGGGATTACTAAGCTCATCACATTTACTTTCCAGAACACTGCTGCAATGTAGAAAACATGCATATTTCCAGTGTAAATAAGGAAATGGTGGCACAGAGAAGTACAATGACTTGCTCAAGGTCATTTAACCGGAATGAATTCAGGATGCACAGCTTTGGAATTAGTACTAAAAACTGATTATATCACCTAGAGTAAGAAAATGTGAGATGACAAAAATTTATGACGTTATGTAAAATAAGAAAACTTATCTAAATATTGAGGTTTAATACAGATGCTTATTTGGGTATTCCTTAGACAAAATAAAATAAAGTAGTTATTAACTACTCAAGTAGTTATTTATAAAGTTTTATTTGAACAAGTAAGTTAAAATAATCATGAAAAACTTGAAGCAGTGCATTTTAAAATATGAACAATACCAATTCTTCTGATTTACAGAGAATCCAAAAAGCTTAAAAAAGTTACTGAAAGCAAATGATAGGGTCCATTACCTACATCTGAAATACCAGGAAATTGATTTAGAAGATTATTATCGCATGAAAGGAAAAAAGTTAGGTCAGATGCTCTCTTGCATTTGTTACTTCTCATGAATTTTCTTAAATCCTTCATTGCTGTCAATTGCAATGGGATACAACTGTTCCAATATGGGAATTTTCTTCTGGGGCTAAGATCTTATGTGTTTTCTCCTTGTTCCTTTCTTTTTGAAGCAACGTGATGCCCTCATATAAGTTTCTTCACTTAGTGCTTCCAAGTCTAAATCCTAGTTCAGTACTTTTACCATTACACTGTGTTTGGAAGGTTATCATCCATAAAGAAATGAAGAAAAAAGACTACAACACAACCATGCATTTTTCTAGGACTAGATGGGGGTCTCGGAAGTGATCAAGCTTTTTTGAATTATTTGTCTTTACTGGGGGAAAAAAAAGCAAAACAAAACACATAACTGTAAAACTATGACAAGAGAAAACTGCTCTGACTGTTCCTCCCATTGTACCCACACAGTAGTACTCTTGAGATTTCAAGAAACCCCAGTGCTCTATGGGGCAGAGATTAAAAAAAAAAAAGTCTCATTTTATTGAAAGCCAAAGTAAATACGTGGAAGGTCACTGAACTGGTGCGGGATGGCTGAAGTAGGTGCAGTCTACTTTGAAGCATGAATAAGGCAGCTTTTCAAACAAAGGATGTCATTAGACCAGTCTTTTCAGTTCTTGAGGATTTCTTGGTTCTCCACACCACTACTCAGCATAGAGGTTCCAGACAAAACACAATCTTTATTCTCCAAGGAAGTGGATGCTTAATTACCTTGTCTCTCTCACAGAGAACTTAGGGACTTTTCACAAAAATAAGATACAAATAAAATCTGTTTATTTTTCATTATATATATATATATATATATATAAAATTCTTCATTTTGTGCATTTTTTCATCTCAGTTGTAATCCCCAAGTGCCTCCTCACATCACCAATTCACCCGTGTGCCATCATCACAGTCCAGTGCACTCTTCCCACCCCAGTATGATTGTGATCTTCCACATGTAAATATTCCACAGATAGTTTCAATTTACCTGTTAATAGTAAATAGAGGTGAAAAGGATTGTACAAATAGTAATAATACAATGATACTACCTAAATGACTAGTTCTTAAAGGAATCAGAGCTGTTACATGTCCCACAGATTTCAAATGCAACTCTGCTCAGTAAAATCAGGTAAATTATTCAATTTCCAAATGAAACTACCAAAGTAGTTTTAAGAAGTACAATAAATAAGTGCTTTAAAGTGTATAATGGCTTCTCTAAAAAATTAAGATGTTTGAATATTTAATAAAGTCAAATACAAAAAAGAAAAAAAGATGTTTCATGCCTTTTTTGTTCAAAAACTGTAAAATATCCAATCTTCTGGCCATATTTCTTGGATAATGACTATAATTTTATATAAGCAAAACTTCATGTTGACAATCTGTTCTCCTAAACTTAGGGACTTTGGGTTAGACACATAACCTTAAATATGACTGAATACAGGCAATAACGAAACAAATTCAGTGAATGTGTATTCTTCATGGGAGCAACCACGAAGTCAACCTTGAAAAGACACTGCTTTCTTTTTTCTGTTAATGGATTTAGTTGGGATTTTATACCAAATGATTACTCAGCAAAGCTTTTATTAAAAACTACACCTCAGAGCTGCTCAGTCTACTGTTTAAGGTTTTTTACCCAAAGGAAATAGAGAAATCAAGGTTAAAAAAAACAAAAGAACAAGTCATATATTAAAAGTATGTGAAGACAAGAGCCCTCCCTGGTGGCGCAGCGGGTTAAAGCACAGCACTGAGAATCTAAAGCCGCTTCGGCATGAGTTTGATTCCCGCCTGCCCGGGAGGAGACCACATGGCGTGGCAGACCTCTCCTGACCCGCCCGCTGCTCCCCTCACCAGTGAACTTCGTTGATCTGCCTGTTCTATTCCCCATTCTGTCTCTGGTGAAGCCTCTCACCGCCCCTGAGCCTCTGGCCTGTACCCCAGTTCTGTATGCACAAATAAATAAATCTTAAAAAAAAAAAAAAAGTATGTGAAGACAAAGTATTCTTTTTTGTTTGATAAAATATTCTTTATAGAAACAAGAAATCATCAATAACAAAATATACCACTAAAGTCCAATGGTCAGAAAACACTCTTATTCATAATCTTATTAATGTATTTAACCAAATTTAATAGAAATAATTGCTATTACTGTGTTATCTAAATAAAAGCCAGTAACTTAGCAGGTAACTTTAATCATTACAACCCACCTTTTAACATAGAGGGAAAAAAGGTTACTGGTATCTTTGTTGATAAAAATTTATTTTTAGGCAAACTGTATTTTTTAAATAATACAACTGTAAGCAAGTCGTATTTTTTTTTCCAGTTAAGAAAACATTGGTAATGTCAACAAACTTTTGTTTTAAATATCTTCGGGAGAACAATGAGTAATAAGAAAGCTGTACACAACTTTTTCTTAAGTTTCTTTGATCCCATGGAATTGACTATACCCAAGATGAAACTTATAAACACTAAAATGGATCTACATATACACACCCTACTCTTTTAAAATTTTTTAATGTAGAAGAACTGGGGATTAGGACTGCGGTGCAAGGGTTGGGGGATGGTGGAATGGGGTGACAGAATTTACTGGAGACATATTGGGGAGAAGAATGGGTGGATCTACTGAAATATACTGCTGAGGGGAACAGTGGGTGAGATAGGACAGGTCTGCTGTGACATATGGGTTAGTTCCTTGGCCAGGGAATGAACTCTGGTCTTAGTGAGCTCACTGATAGTCCTGAGACTTAGGCCCTAGGCTACCAGAAAAGACCTTACATACCATACATTTTTATCAATATTTCATATCAAACATAATTTAGATAACTGCAAAGAACTCAAGCAAAATCATTACACATTCATTAACATTCACTGATATAACTGTAGCCAAATCTATTTACTTTATGTCGTGGGAATAGAAACATGAATGTGACATTTTCTATTCCCAAAGATTTAACATTTTACTGGAAGAAAAATGAGTAAATAACTGTGACCAAAAAAATATGCAGTTTTTCCTACAGTAGATAGCCTAGCTCTTAGTATGAGTCAAGATCACAAGAATGTGTGGAAAGCTTACCAAAGAGACTATTTATAAAGCTGTGAACAAGGCTCAGGAAAACCAATAAAGGAGAATAGTATACCCTTGAGCTAACAACATCAAGAACTGGTATTGCTAGGTGCAAAGGAGGAAGGAGAAAAAAAGGTTTCCTGGAACCTGGAGAAGGTAACTGG